CCCGCGCCCAGTCGTACGTGGTGGTGCTGCTGTTGATGGGTGCGGGTGCAGCCCCGGCCTCCGTGGTGGGTGCGTTGGCGGCGTGCCCCTCGTCTGCGTGGCCCTCGAGCGCGGACAGGTTCGCCTGGCGGCCCATGAGGCGTTCGGCTTGGGTACCGGCGGCGGCGTCGCGCAGGGTGCGGCGGTACCAGCGGGCCTTTTCGCGGGCGATCATGGTCTCAATGTCGGCGGCCTCGGCATCGCGGGCCTTGAGGCGGGCGAAGAGGGCGTCGAGCGCCGCGGGGAACGAGTCTGGGTCCTGGTCCTGGGACGGGGTCGAGCCGGCGAGCCATGAGTCGGGCGCGGGCTCGGTGTAGCGTTTGCGCAGCGACTCGACGACGTCGTCGTAGGTGGCCGTGTAGCGGACGCGCGCATCGTCGTTCTCGTGGTGCTGGGACCAGGCGTTGCGCGTCGACTCAATGGCGGCGGCGGTCTGGGCGTGGGCGGTGTGCTGTGCCTGCAGCTGGAGCCAGGGTTCTACCATGCTGGATGAGGCTTGGTTGTGTGGTGATGAGATGATGGAGATGGTGATGGAGGTCTGCTTGAGGTGAGTTGTGATGCATTGGCCAATGGAGGAAGCATGGAGGAAGCCCAAGGCGGAATGGTCGTTGAGCTCTGTGAGACGATGGAGTGGGGCCAAAGAATTACGCTGGACGGATCGGGTCGGTTCCACCGTCCGTTGTCACGGATCGTGTTTCGTTCAAAACGGTGGTTCTGTTCCGTATCGAGATTACACTTCCTCCTACTCCGTATCAAGACTACACTTCCTCCTACCTCAAACACCCAGGACAACGTAGACACCTTAGATACCTACCCAGAGGTAGGTAGGTGCCTAACGCAGCTATGCACTGCTCGCAATTTACCAAGCACCTCAAGCTTCCCTTGACCTTCGCCAGATACCCATACCCAGAGCTTTCTCCATCTCCTGCCGCCGCCATGGGAATAGCCGCGACTGACAGCCTCTCACTCGTTTCCACCCTCGCCCTGCAAGGCGCGAGCAATCACGGTTGCCAGGCCGAGGATCTTCTCCTCCTCGAATCGCCTGCCGATCAACTGCAGGCCTACGGGCGCCCCGTGGTACACGTCCGCATCATCTGGCATCCATCGTTAGCAGACCGTTCAGCAGATCACCCTGACGACCAGAGAGACGACCGCAAAAGGGAGGGGGAGAGAGGGAGAGACGGACAATCCTTCCACACCTCTTCGTCCAAGGTGTTCATTGGCACGTAGTGCTCATCGAATACGTCGAGGTCCCGGTCGCACGTCGTTGTCGGCATCGTTATGGCCGAGTAGTCGAGAACGTTGACAAACGTCGCGTATCCTGCCCCCAGCAATGTCAGTCAAGGCACACGAGTCGTATGGGGCGGAGGTCGGTGCATCTTCTTTACCGTAGTAGCTGAACTTCCCCTGTTGCGGTGCGGCGAACGGCGCGATGGGAGCAATCACCGCCGTCACGGCCTCCTGCGCGTCATTGAGCGCCGACGTGCTGTTCCAGTAGTCCATGTACTCCTTCTGGTACTCGCGCTTCTTCACATGGAGAGCCGCTATTTCCGAGCCGCTGCTTTCCTCATATCCTGCGCGACCATACGTCTGCGCAATCTGTTTCGACATGGGCTCCTTCGACAGCGCAAACGCATCAAACACGTCACGTCCACCGTCGAGCAAATACGCATGCGTCTAGGCATCATGTCAGCTCGCTCAGACGAACCCTGGCACGGGACGGACGTACCGCTATGTCCATTGCGCGTTCGTGGCTCGGAGGCTCCCACGCCAGAACCGTGTGGCCGAGCGACCTGAGAGTGTCGGCCATCTTCTTCAGGGCGCGTTGCACTGGTGGCTGCACGGAAACGCAGCCATCACATTCAAGAATCCCAAACACGAACGGCTTGGGGCTGTCGACCGTGTTCTGGAAGAGGGACGCCCGCCATGGAAGCTCCACCACCAACGGATCATGCAGCCACGGCTGTTGGCTGAGCACGGCTTCCGCGAAGACCTTGACCGCCTCGACCGAGTGGGCCATGGGCCCGAGGACGCTCAGGACAGAGCTCTGACCGTCCATGCTGTTCGCCATGCCCTCGTACGGAAACCTCCCGCTCGACGGTCTCAGTCCGTACAGGCCGTTGAAGCCAGCCGGAAACCGGATGCTGCCTCCGATATCCGTCCCGACGCCGAGAGGACTCCCCCGGAGTGCGAGGAGCGCGCCTTCTCCGCCAGAGCTGCCGCCTGCCGACAGCAGTCGGTTCTTCGGGTTCGGCACGTAGCCTACAATGTTGTTGAACGTTTCGCCCGACATGAGCGTGTGTGGCACGCTCGTCTTGCAGTAGAGAACAGCGCCGAGACGTCTCAACTCGCGCACGAGTTCGCTCTCGAACACCCTCTCCTTGCCGGTGCCCTTTCGTCCCTGGAAGGTGCCGACCCAGCCGACATAGCCCATGGTTGTCTCCACACCCCGCACGTGGAACTGGTCTTTGAGACTGATCGGCAGACCGTGAAGAGGTCCCTTGCGCTGGCCGGTCGCCGCCAAGTACTCGTCCAGCTTTTGCGCCTCGTCCAGGGCCGCGTCAAAGAATATCTCGTGCAGGCAGTTCGTCTGACAAGCCATCGACATGTTTCAGCAACTCGGGCCAGTCTGCGTCAAGGGGGCTTGTGGCTCGCGCTCGACGTACCATTTGATGAGCCAGCGCGGCTCGGTGACAGAAAGCCTCGGCAATGTCGCGCGCTTTCCACTGGCCCTCGTGGACGCGGCGCAGAATCGTCGACACATCGGACTCGGTCATGTCGACCTCCTCTTTCGTCAGGTATTGGCGGATGTGATCGCCAGTGATATCCCTCTGGGCATCAGGTGGAGGCAGAGCAGCGATCACCCAGGGAGCGGGGATGAGATCGATCACGGACTGTCGCTTCTCCGCAGCAGCCGTTCGCCAGTCCACCATCTTGCAATCTCGGCTGGTGTCAGATGAATGATGCAGTGTGACCACGACGTCCCAGCTGGCTTGATGCAATCTTTAAGTAGCACGCTCTTGAAGGGATATTGTGTAAGACGAAGCGCCTGGGAGCTTCGTGACCGAGACGAAAGTCGGCTCTTGAAGCGGGGAAGGGCCTTGGCGTCAGCACCGCAGGCGTTGCTCTTGGCCGGCATTCTGGTGATACCCGATAACAGCGACAGCAGTCGTGAACTGACTGGACGACGCCTCCAAGGACCCAGTGCCCGCACGTTGGACTTTGTCTAGACACCAGTGACAACTGAATTCGGCTAGGTCGTGCGATCGCGTGGGAAGAACACATCATTGGCTCAACACATGGGATGGCGTACAAGGAATCGTCTTGCCCCCATCCCGCTCCGTTGACCCCAACGCTGCCATTTCCAGCGTCACCATGTCTTTTGCCTGCAAGGGCATCTTTACCTCCAACACCCAACTTCAATGCCTCCAACACCTCCAACACCTCCAACGCCTCCAGCACCTCCAGCACCTCCAAAGCCACCAACTTGGCAAGAACTCACGCAGCAGGCTGGGTAGAGACGTGTTGGAGACATGGAAGCCAACGGCGGGGCATAGTGAGAAGGCCATCGGCAGATACGCAGGACCCCAATAATCGGGAGCGAAGCGAGAATCCCGATCGCGTGCAGATCCGGAGCCCCGTTAAAAACAGCCACCGGCGCTAGACCACAACTCAAAGTAAGTACTTGGAGACGATGGAGACGAATGCCCCACGGACTAGCAGCAAGTCCCATGCCAAGATCCGGGGAAGCGAACATGGCAGGCCAACGTTGGGAACCTCTTATCAGGTACGGGGGTTCAATATATGAACCTCGCGAGGCCACGCCTACAATGGCCTCTGTCGCTCTCGATTCGCTCACTCTCGTGGACACGACTTCTTCCTCATAACTTCTGCACGCTTCCTACTACCAAATCTATACGTCACGAGGTCAGGCGAGGATCGCAAGTTACCACGCTCCTCAGCCGCCATGGCATCTCTGAAGGAGGGCACGGTCTACAGCCCCGACCAGAAAGACATTAGCGAGCTGGAGAAGGTTGGCGAGAGTTACGCTGTGGAGAACCCCGGCGAGGTGTTTGACCAGAGCGAATACCGCGCCCTGGGATGGTAGGCTCTTCTCCCTCATGGCAACTGCCAGATATCGTCGGTCTCGCCGAAGCGGAGTTAACATGATGTATAGGATTCCTGCTGCTGTTATACTCCTGAAGTTGTGCTTCGCCACGGGCGTCCTGGCGATTCCTGCAACGTTCAGCGTCCTCGGCTATGTTCCGGGTCTGATCGTACTCCTCGGCTTCGGGGCTCTGACGACATGTATAGCCTCGCTGCCTTGCCCGAAACCCCTTTACGCGAGAGAATACTAACATGCTTTTCAAGACTATGCTTATATCATGTACGTCTTCCGGATGCGATATGCCGGCATCCATAACATTGCGGACGCAGCCGGCATGGTGGGCGGCCCCGTCTTGCGCGAGGTGGCTGGCGCTCTGTTCATTGTAGCCTGGACGTACGTAAACCGCTGCTCATTCTCGGTGGTCATTCAGAAACACAAGGACTCACACACAACAGGTTGGCATCGGGGGCAGGTTTCATTGGCCTCGCGCAGGGGTTTAAGGCCCTCTCCGGTCACAACGTCTGTAACACCGTGTGGACACTGGTTGCCGCCGTTTGCACTGCTCTTCTGGCCAGCATCCAGACCCTGGGAAGGCTCACCATCTTTACCTGGATCGGCTTTGCCTCTCTTTTCACCGCCGTCTTCATCATCGTGTACGTTTGGAGAACTCACGTGCTTTGCGCCGCGCTGACCTCTTTTCCAGTATCGGAGTAACGCAAGTCGATCGACCTGCTGCGGCTCCGCAGGCGGGACCCTTTGACATTGATGTGGTCACTTTCGGTGCCCCAGCGATTGCGCCCGGGCTCACCGCTGCGGTCAATATTTTCGGTCAGTCGCCTCCCTCCGTACGGGTTCGTATACACGGCATGCTCACGACTCACTCAGCGGCCTTCTCGTCCACACCAACATTTATGCCCGTCATTGCGGAGATGAAAGCGCCTAGAGACTTTAGGAAGTCTCTTTTCTCTTCTCAGATTGTGCTCATCATCTGCTATGTCACGATGTCACTTGTCGTCTACCTGTGCGCCGTTCCTTGTCTCTTCCCCTGTCGCGTATCGCGCTGACCTCATCGTCAGCTATTGCGGCAAATATGTGGCAAGCCCTGCCCTGGGCAGTGCAGGAGGCCTTCTCATGAAGATTGCCTATGGCATTTCCATCCCGGGCTTCATCATGACGTGCACGCTCTGGGTCCACCTCGCAGCCAAGACCGTCAGTCAGGCCCACGGGATGCCTCTGCGTCGCCTCGCTAATGGTGTCCCAGTTATTCGTCCGTATTCTTCGCCATTCGGAGCATCTGCAGAATCACAGTTTCATCCACTGGGCTGTATGGCTGTACGTGTTCTGGGACGAGCTCGGTACCCGAAGCTTCGCTGACGTTTTCCAATGCAGGGGTTCCACGATCGGCATCAGCTCACTCGCGTTCCTCTGCGCCGGGGCTGTTCCCTTCTTCAGCTACCTGATCGGACTGAATGGCGCCCTTTGCTTGGCGCCAACTTGTGTACGTTCTCGTCAACCCGACACCACTCCATCGTCTTCTGCATGGATGTCTGACATTCCGAGCAGTTGGTCATCCCGGCCTGGATGGGGCTCTACATGGACTGGGAGCTCCGACGCACGAGCTGGACGAAGACGGGGATTTGCTATCTCCACATCTTCACGGTCATCATCGGGCTGTTCATGACGGTCGGCGGCACGACGACCACGATACAGAGCATCGTTGACGCCTACAAGGCCGGCAGTTTTGGGACACCCTTTAGCTGCACATGATCAGCGTTGAGATTGTAGGGGTGTCGCCGTGTCGGGGAGCCCAAGCTGGGAGCGAATACATCAACAAAGCAGACCTGTCCGCACGCTTTATGCCTTGTCCATCTAGCGCGTTCCTGTCAGTTTGATGTGCGCATGGGGGCAGAGTACCAGCTGCTTCCAGTCTTGCTGAGGTCGAGTCAGGGCGGGATTCAGATACGCTAGGACTCGAGACTTATCAATCACGCTGAGGAAACGAGTTGCGGACGATCTTTTTACTTTGCTAGGAATGCGATCGAACCGAAGGCTCATATCGGCCAGTCTTCTGGTCGGACTCTCGAGAGCTCTCGCGCGCTTCGTGAATGCATGTTAACGGCACTTGTCTGTAACCATTACTAGGCCCCATCAAGTAATGGAGAAGGATCAAGGACATGGGCTCACGGGCCTGGCTTGCAGAACTATCTTCACCGATAGGGCTAGAATGCCTAGTTTTAGAGCGTCTCCTTTTACCTACAGGCGGAATAGTATATTTCCCCTCTATAAGAAGAGATACTATCCGTAGGATATAGAGATAAAGACGCCTTGAGAGCAAGATAGCCTCTTCCTTTACCTTAAGAAAAGCCTTGCGCCATACATCGATAGACTATGAGTACCCTAACCAAAGTCAGGCGCAAGAGACGCGGATAGCCTGTGCAACAAGATGTTCGAGTATAGCGAGAATTTCGACATGGATATCACTACCATTGCCTACGAAGAAAGCCAGCGAGGAACATGAAGTCTTTCAGACAGTGCGGGAAGGTCATCCTCGAAGCGTCAGTGGCTGCCTAGCCGCCTTCCTTCCATGACCCAGCCCGTCAAGATGGCGGCAAGTTCCGCGCCCAAAAGTCAACGAGGCAGATAACGTCGGCCATAAGGAGGGAGTCTATGAAAGGTGCTGATGATCTGGACAGGACGCGTCCTGAAGGTAGCAGAAAGGAAGGCCATGGTTTGAAGCCTGGTCAGGATGCAGACAGGCGTTGGCAGCTGCAGCCCCTGCTGAGAAGGGAAATTCACATACCATTCGCCTACACCAGAAACCGTCGTTCTTCGCGCGATCTCCTGCCCACCCTTTAGGTATCTTCTTAGCCGATTATGACGACAGAGACAGAATGAACAGATATAATAGAAATGACGTGGCAAACGCGCTTCATGCCATTGATGGCGGCTTCGGATCCGTCGTGTCTCAAAGCCACGGGGCGTCCCGGCGTCGACTCTTTCTACTCGATGAGCAGGAATCATACCTCAGAAGAAAGGAAAAGAGCCGTTCCAGAGACTTGGCGCTACTCAAAGGCAGCCTCTAACGGACTAGACACTAGCCCAGGTCTCTCTTAAATACGCCCCAGCGCACTTCCAGGTAAAGGACTTCGCCCAGCGTCCTACATGCCCAGTGGAACACCCACCCTTTTGGCAAGGCAAGGCTTGATTAGAAGGGTTCCTACGCCGGATTTCGCAGTCAAGATTGTTCGAGGCAAGCGGATCGAGCGCTGTCGCGTCCGGTCCGTCACGGCTCAAGCCTACAGAACATCTTCAACCTCGCAGAGTCCCTCTACCTTGAGAGAATCCCTCCATGCCTCCGGTACGATATGGAAGAGACGGGGACCATGGAGGGCCAGCGACGCAACAGTCTAGTCCTTCGGTAGCAGGCCGCAAGGAGAGGCCTGTCAATTTTTCGTATACATCACCTGGTATGCGATGTCCCTTAGTAGCACTTGGGCCATTTGGCACTTGGCCACGAGTTGCATCCCCCTTACCTTCACACACACTGGCCAATTTCAACAACATCAGTCGGCTTCATCATGACCGGCAGCTTTGCATACACCTTTGTTGACACCCTCGCCGTGTCACTGACTTCTTGCACAGCATCGTCCAACTTCCGGCTGATCCTCCGTCAATG